ACTGCTACCCTCCAGTTGTGGGATGACATGCTAACCAACTGAGCCACACCAGCCAGGGCAGCAGTTGGTCAGTGTTAAGCAGAGGAATAATTAGATTAGATTTTTAGATTTTTGTTCTTTCGAGATCATTCTGCCTATGGGAAGAACTGAGGGGAGGAGGCAAGACCAGAGGTAGAAAGGCCCCTTAGGAAGCTGCTGTATAGTTCAGGTGATAAATAAATGTTTGGTTAGGAGGGGTACACAGGGAGTTTAAAATGTATCGGTAAAATTCCATTTCTTTCCCTGGGTGAGGTATAAAAGTACTTTATTCCTCACATCTTATATTACATTGCACAAATTCTGCCCTTGCTCCCTGCCCAGATGGGAGTAAATCCCTATCTCCCCTCCACTCCCACTTCCCTTATTTAGCTTCAGGTCAGTGCATCCCTGCCCCCCCCCCCCCCGCCTTCAGCTTCTTACTTGGCTGCAGCCCACCTCCGGCTGGAAGCCCTCTAGCCAGTCTCAAGTACTCCTGCTTCCCAGTTTTCACTCATATATTTCCTTTGCTTTGTGTTGAATTTATTCATATACTCTGCGTGCCTCCTCCCCTTAGCTAATCCACAGCCTACTTTACTTGCCTTTCAAAAATCAGCTCAAATTCCAATTCAGTTCACTTCAGTTGAACCTTTTTTTATGAGGGCTTATTACCTGCTTGCCTTGGTTTGGGGTCCTGTGGGTACTACTGCACAGAGCCGGCGGTTCCTGCCCTGGGAGCTCACCATTGACTGGCAGAGTCCAACACACAGACCACGTCCTCATGGGGAGGGAAGTGCTGTGACAGAGGTCAGCAAAGGGACCTGTGGCAGCACAGAGTGTGGGGACCTCTGTCCTACTTGTGAAACACTTAGAATAAAATGTTCCCCCGAACTGCTCACTGAGTCACGCCCTACCAGAACACACTGCTCCACGGAGGCGAGCCCTGACGGAACTGTAGCAGTCGTCAACCGGGCGTTTGAAACAAGGGTCCAGGAACTACCCTGACTGCTTCTAACTACCCTGACTTCTTCTAAGTTTGCTTTTCAGATCGAAAGCCAAGCCACAAACCCCAGAGACAAACTCAATACCCAGTTGGCAAAGTCCCTTTATGCAGCCCATAATAAGTGCTGCACAATCCCAGAACGCTTCACTTTGTTGATGTTTACCTAGATGAACATCAGTGTTCCAGAAAAAGAGAAGCCTGCTGACCTACACCCTGATTGGTTAACCCCAGCAACTCCCATGTTCCAAAGCCATAGAAACCCCTAAGCTCCACATTTGGGGTGCAGAACCTGGGGCCCTATCTCGGTGTTCTCGCCCGCTGCAGAGCCTTAATAAATCTGCCTTTTCCTGTATCGGTGACGCTGGTCTCAATTCTTTTGTATCTGGAGACAAGAACCCAAACTCATGGGTAAGACTTGTTCGATGGGGTGGGGTCGGGGGACAGGCAGGAAAGGCTTTTTGGAAGGGGTGGTACATGCATTGAGGGTTAAAGGAGTCGTCTGCAACTTGGAGAGGTGTCAAGGAGTGAGCCGCAGGCAGAGTCCCCTCCGTGCTGTTTGTTGTGCTACCCCCATGACAGGTGGAAACCCCACCTTTCACTACTCTGGGTGGGCTAGCACCCCCATTTCTAGGATGTCTTATTCCTTCTGGACCCAGCTCCTTGAAAACTGTGCATAGGGCGACTAGGAAGGTGAGGGGGCCAAAGACTGGCCACACAAGGAACAGTAGCTTAATTACGTATATTTAGACTGAGGGTTTTGGGTTTTTGTTTGTTTTTTTTTTTGAGTGAAAAGAAAATGGATCTTTGTATAACACTGTGTTTCCAAATGCAACCAAAGGGTAGACGCTCTGGAGGCAAATTTCAGCTGAACCCGAGGAAGAACTCTCTGATGGCCTTTCTTTAGGAGAGATCAGCTTGTGGCAGGTTGTCACTGGAGTTGCAAATGCATATCCCGGTTTGTAGTCATATCGTAGAAAATGACGAGAGTTGGACAAGATGAACTTTTAGGTTCTTTCCAGGGCTGGATTCTCTCATACCATCTCCCCGACCCTCACCATCATCTCTTCCAGACCTTCCATTTAAACCTCCTGTGGCCTTCATTGCCAGCTGGCTAAAGTCTCTCCAAGATGCACAGCATAGCGCACAGGGCCCTCCCTCTCCTGTCTCCACTCACGTCCCACCTGAAACAGAGCCATGCTAAACCGCTTCCGGTTCCCGGCACAGCCCTGCTGCGCTCTGTGCTGCAGCAGTCCTCCCCTCTTCCTCTGCCTGGCTGCTGTTCTCCGACATTTCCTCCACTACCCTGTGCTGGCACTGCTGTGGGCGTGAAACCAGAAAAGCCGGAATTCGTGCTGCCTGTCACCTACCAGACCCGGTGGGCAGAGACAGGGATTGAATCTCTATGGGCATTTTATTCAGATGGCCAGCGATCTGAGAAGATGGTGGGTTTGTACCCTAACAGACCATCTTATATTACATTCTAAACTGACCCTTTTTATAAGAAGAAATGTATAGGTGAAGGGTTTGGAATTCAGGGAAAAAGTTAATCAGATAAAAGCTGCTGCATTGTTTCATCTGTGTCCTGGGTGGTCATCTCACCCTGGAGGACAATGGCTCAGAGACCATCTAGAATTGCTTGCAGTCCTTCTGCGGCACAAAGATGGAACTGCTTATGGTCTCCTGGAATCAGGGTGGGTCAAACCTTTAGTTCCTGGAATAATAGCTTTCCACATACATTGCTAAGCTTATTAGCTACTACCTGAAACTAAATTTTTCCCAACATTTGAATCCCCCATCAAATGTTTGCTACCCTGTCTGCACATAACTTCCAATTGGCAAATTAATTCTCTCCACGTGTTGATGCGAGGGTAACTGCAGTGGCCTGCCTCCCACTGCCATTCAGAAGGAAGCCGAGGGGGTCAAGTCCTTCACTGTCAGTCTCTAGTTCCAGCTCGGAGGCAGGCAGGTGACAACAGACCAGCCAACGGGGCCTTCTCTCCAGGTTCTCTGAATCCAAAGGCTGGAGGAATAAAGGTGATTTACCTGGTGGGGCAGGGGCAGTGAGAAAGCTGTCCTGGACAGGCTGTCCCAACAGTGACATGTTTGCGGTGTCTTTTTTTTCCTACTTACTAGCCTTTTGGAGTAAGTATCCTTGGTACCTATGCATTTCCAAGCCAATAAATATTTATAAAATGAGTGAACGAAGCACAGGAATAAACGTCAAAGGCTAAATTTAAAGCAAACTACATGCAAGGCTGGAATAGTTAATGATCAGAACCAGAGGGAAAAAGAGGGGAATAAAGACAAGCAGGAGAATGCTCCCATCACTAAAATAAATGAGGAAGTGCTAATTTAGGGAGGGAAGGGAGAATGGTGAATAAAAAAAACGTTTTATTGTAATCCCTCCTCCAAGACATCCCCATTTGTAGGCACATCTACTCTTTTCCTTTGGGAGTCATGGCAGTTCTTTCATTTTTGGTGAGTTAGCTTCCTGGTCTCTGTTTAGATGGGCCTCGGGCCAGTGGCCTTGCCCTCATCCTCAGAGACTGTTAAAGACCTTGTCAAATAGCAGCACATCCAGTGGCAGCAGGAACCAAAGATGACTTGGAGGCTGCGAACCAGGATACAAAGCCACTAAGAAAAGGACATGGGTGGAGATGAGCCTGAGGCAGCAAGGAGGAGGTAATGCCTGGATGACGTGTGGATTAATGGGTTCATAAAGCTCTGGAGCTGGTGCTATCACTACTGCGTGCTTCTCACGTGCACCTCTGTGCATATGCAGAATCAGGAAGTGAGTGTTTTCCTTCTGCAGGCAGAAACATGAACTCATTCACTCAGTAAATATTTACTAGGCACCTGCTCTGCACTGTTCTAGGCAGCGTTAAAGTAGTGAAAAAGCTCCATTCATGGAGACCATGGAGATGCATAATACTGCTACCGACAGGGTCTGGCCCTGAGTGCGTCTGCCTATAGGGCCAGCTGTAGTGTCTGGGGTCTTGATTTCATATAGGAAAGATTTCACAACACAAGTCCAGCTGGAGGGGAGGGTACATAGTAAAGCTAGGGGTAGTAGAACAAGGAAGGGCTCGTGGAAGAAGCAATAAGAGAGCCTAGGGGGGCTGCCTTAGCTCCCTGGGAAGTCAGAGAAATGGGGCCCTGGGGACAAGTTCAGGGGGTTAGCCTGGAATATAAGCTCCCAGCTACTCATTGCCTTGTAGGGGTGTCCACCCCACGGGCCACCCAGGGTGGCTATGAATGCCAACACAAAAGTGTAAATTTACTTAAAACCTATTTTTTGCACATCAGTTTTCATTAGTGTTTGTGTATTGAATGTGTGGCCCAAGACAACTCTTCTTCTTCTTCCAGTGTGGCCCAGAGATGCCAAAAGGTGGGACACCCCTGCTAGAGTTTAGGAGACAGATGCCTGTGAAGAAAGGGGGCTGCTCCCCAGAAGGAGACCCTGGGAGCCGGGTTCTTGCTCTTGAGGCTTTTATCTTTCTCTTGCAGGCAGGAACCTTAGGCTGGGTCTCAGTAAAATATTCATCAGTGTTCAAGGTGTGCCCTTTCAGGGGCATGGTCTCCACTGATTGGTCAGTGGCAGGGCGAGAGGGTTTCTAGTCATTGCAGTTGGTTCTGGAGTCGCCCACCTGGGTTTGCTGCTTTTCTGGGCCTGGAGCTGAAGCACAACTGAGGCCAGATGGCATCTCTGGGGAGGTGACCTTTGTATCTGGCTGTAAACAGCTTGGCCGGTTTGTTCAGCTGTCTGTCTCAGTTTCTCTGTTCTACTTGCCAAAAAACGTCCCTGTCTCAATATTATTTAAATTTATTTGTCCACTCATTTGTGCGCAATGAACAATATTATGTTAGCAGATGCTAAGATGGACAGACAAATTAGTCAACTGAGAGAAAGAAAAACAAGATGGACAGAACTTTAATATGAACTTTTCAGAGACTTCTGATGAACCAATCAAAAAATATCAACTGAATAATGAGCTACAATATTTATTTAGGCTCAGTGTAGATTCTAGGGTATGCCACACATACATTTCAACAACGTATTCGGTCTGGATAGCAAACTTTATGAACTACACAGTGTCTAAGATATAAAAATTACACAGAAATTCATGCTTATGAAGAGACCTGTTTATTACTGATAACATTTCATTTGGCCAAAACCACAAGAAATCCACACACAAATACTTAAAGTGCAAATTCTCACAGGCAGTATTTATGATACACCCTGGTGTTTTCTTAGGGAAAAATGGGAAGATACAGCAACTGTTAAAACAAGGGCACAAATTTGAACTGCTGCTACACAGTCAGGAAAACAAGTGAATTCTTAACTGCACACATTTCCTCTGGCATATTCAATAATGTACACACAGAGTTCATTTTAGCCTCTGAGACGAAGGCCTCACCACGTACAGATGCAGATCCTTACTTGACTGGCTCCTGTAAGACACATGCTGAATCATAAGGCTGAACGACAACGTACCAAATGGTATCAAGTCAGTCATGACTCACTTGGAAGGTAGCACTGGTGGGCTCCAAATGGCACTTACATTAGTGCTGTTAAGCCTTCACAGACACTTCTTAGCCTCTTAGCCAATGCCTTGCTTCGGATGTAAAATACTAGGCATAACACATAATTTCCAAATAGAAAATTTCTTTCTCTAAAGAAACTGAGTATTTAAGGGCATGTGTGCTTGATAAACATTACTTATTTTCAGTAATGAGAATTGTTTCAAAAGGCTGAACTAGAAAATTATATTTCTGACTGTTCTTAAATGCTTTGCTTCTTTAAAATAAAATCCCTTAATTACCATCATCATCAACTAAGCACTCTATACCAGCTACTGTACTAGCTGGGTGGATATGAGAAAATAATAAAGGAAGCTGATAGTCAAGAAGGATCTTGGTCAAGGAATGGCAATAAATTAAAGAGAACAGACTGGCCCATACCTCAACTATATTGTAAGGTTCAATGGTAACATAATGGTTTCAGGTCAGTTTAAATTGGCATTCATACTTTCAAAGGGCAGCTTCTAAAGGGCGGGGAACATCCCGGTTATGTTCTGTGCTTCTGTTTCTCACACTGGAGTCAGGGCGCCTGCGCCCAGGGACCTGCAGCGATCAGCGGGGGCTGGGGGAGAAAAGGGAGGCCACGTGTTGAGCACGGTGCTCCTTTCGGGCAGCAGCAGTTTTGGTGGCTATTGAAGGAATCACTTTTATATCAACACAGTCTTATTCTGGAGAACGCAAACTTCACCTACATTGTTGAGACGTAACATGGCATTTCGTGAGTGGTAGGCTGCGTCTGGCTTTGCTCTCAGGCCCCTCCCCTACACATGCTGCTTTGGGGACACACTGGTGGAAAAATCTGAGAGGCAAACTTCAGCCATGTCACTTTGCCCTTATCTTGGTTGCTTCACTCATTCTTGTATGTTCTCTTTTTTAAATGCATAGTCTTTAATTAATAAAGATAAAAGATGGCTTAATGGATATAACAGGATGATGAACAAGTTAAAGCAACCACAGGCCAACGCTGACTTTGTTTCTGACTGGAACGGAAGTCCTGCTGTGCACTGAGACAGTGGGCGGTCTCTTCTTTCTACTCAGACCCCTTACAGCTACAGTAAGATGCTCTGAGGCACAAATACAAAAAAACAGTTCCTCAAATCTTGTGCTTTGGTTGCCCAAAGTACAAAGAAACTGAAAAGAAAATGCTAGATCAATCGACCATTCATTTTGATTAGTACGTTTCTCTCCTCATCAGTTTTTGGAGCAATCTCAGAAAACAAGTGAATTGTAAAAGGCCATAATAAATGAACACATAGTATCCAGACAGACCACACGAAATTATGAAACAGATTTAAAATTACTTCTTACAATGTCTTATTCTCACAATAACAAAATACCCAGAAGTCCACAAACCAACTTAGTTTATGAATAAGCTTACAGCATTCTGGAGGATACAGTTAGGAGTGATCAGCGAGGTAACAGGGCAATAGCATTTCACAGTAACAAAATGTGGGAGGGCACAAGGGGAAGGAGGGAGGTAGAGAAAAAGGGCATGAAATTAAACTTATCCAAGCTGAATTTGGATTTTTCAAGCATCACAAACGACAATGGAAAAGATCTGAAAGAAAAACCAATACAGCAGCTCAAGAACAATTTCTCCATTAAACTCCAGCTGAGCAATCTTTTTAAGAAACAGGAGTTCGAGTTCCTATATAAAGATATTCCAAAGTATCCAATTTCTTAGAAAACTGTCTGCTGAAGTTACTACATCCAAATAACAATAGTCTATATTTAAAACAAACCCCTCAAATATTCTATGATGCTGTACATTCTTCAAGATGAACAACACTGTGTTCAAGTCTCAATTTACCAGATTAAATTAAAAATAACATCTAAGCAGGCCTTTACTCACTGCACTCATGCATCTACTACTCAACATATTTTAAAAAATGCTCTCTTGTGAGCTAAATTCCTACAGATATGGAGTGAGATTCAAATGTTACTTCCAGTGCTCTTTGACATCTTTGCACCAACCTGAGTTAAAAAAAAAAGGTTTAGAAGAAATCTGTAAAAGCCATTTAGTATATCCTTTACTTTTTAATTTTTTATTCATTTAAAAATAAAAAATTCAAATAGAAGGCTTCATAATGATTCCTGTCCAAGTTTTTAAATCTTGAACTACACATGCTGCCTTTTTTCTCTTTAAAGTTCCTCATTCCCTCCTATTTTATCCTTGCTGGAGATGGAGAACAGTCTTATCATATTACTTCTTAATTTAAGTTGTTCAGTAAATGACTCAATAACTTAAGATTAATTAAACTATTTCAATAGCTTTCTCCTCTCCAGAGTTAAATAATCTTAATTTTTTTATCTTTTTTTACTCAGACGCTTTATTTTCCGTCTATATTTTATTCCTTTTTATTTGGGCTACATCCCCTACCCAGTCCCATAGGATCCTAAGAAACAACAACATCCCAGAAACTGAATCGGTAAGAGGGGTCTTACAACTTGGCCTCTTTAGTGGTCACTAATAAAAGAAAACAAAAGGTTCCCTAATCACTCATTGTCACAACAAACACACAGGTAAACCACTTATCCACAGCTTATTCTCTGTTTTTAGGGTGGTAAGTTTGCCCTTGACAAAAAGCATTTCCCTGCCACCTTACTGACCTTTCTATTGTTTGCTTATTTCTCCTGTTTATTTCCAACCCATACTTTAATCTGGCCTCACCGCTCTCGAGAATCCCAGTTTTGATCTGCACACTCAGTGAGAATGCATCAATTTCCATGACATTGCTTATAATGAAAAAAGCAAACACTGCGCAGCCCCAGGCTCAGACCTACTGGCCAGCACTTCTGTTCACCCTGGTTGGCTCGGGCTCCTGAATTATCCTGTTGGGCAAGTGTCCACCCACTACATCGAGGTCATGTTAAATATCACACTCAGCCAGACTGGAGAGCTTGGCTAGAATCAAATAATTCCCTCTATACACCACAGGAACACTTGTATAATTTTGTTAATTTCAACTTCGGATTTTTCAATTTTTGAGATAAGGATCCAAGCTTTAATAGTTTTTCACTTTGATTAAGACAACTTAGATGTTGCATTATATTAAAGCTCTCCAATAAAACTGTTCTCTTTATAATAGAATGACAATCATAACATGGCTTTAGGGATTACAAATGTGCTATTGTATCATTTTAGCTCCACTTTGTCCTTCAGTCAATGAAAAACAGACATTGAAACCAAATATACATATTTTCCATATATATATATATATATAGCATTGCTCATAACACTTTGTAGAGTACAGGCCATTTCCTAAATTACAGTCTACATTCATAAAGGCAAATAAAGCAAAAAAAATTCTACACATTTGATCGAGTGCAAAGCCTTTGAAAACAAATTCATTTAGAAATACAGTGACCTACATTTAGCTTGCTAGTTGTCTATTATCTATAGTCACACAAGACCCGTCTATAAGAAAGGAACAAATCAACAATAGTGGCAATACAATAATTTGAACATTATATATGGATTAGGTGGGTTGAACCAAATGTTAGCCAGTAGCTACACCAAACCAAACCATGATTTAATAAGTATGTTGACCAATTCAATTTCTGTATCACCATTTTTTTTAGGAAACTTTGGTAGGAAATACATTTTCAGCAGTCATCGTCCACAGGCAATTTGTTCAGACAGTTATGCTCAAGGCCTCGTTATTGTTACCTCTTCACTGTACCACTTACACTGTGTGTAAGTGTCCCGTGAGCTATATGCCCAACAGGATACACTCCAAGGAGACTAAGCGGAGTCCTCCGCTGCCCTTTTCAGAAGACTGCAGAATCGACCAGTGCCCTTCCGTGGTAAATAGTTACTCCTGTCATCGGAAATTCTACGGAAGCCAGCAAGATAGTAGGATAAACTGGACGGTAGTTTTAGTGTTTCATATTATTGAATGTTTTATTTCTTAGTAAAATTAGCATTACTTCATCTGTTAAAGGAATAAATCTACTTACAAAAATTAACTCAGAAGTTAGGCTTTTCAATATATTCACAGCTGTCTCAGCTCAGATTTTTTCTTTACTCAAAGGCTGTGATAACTGACCCCTTAATTCTAACATGAAGATGCCTAACTACACTTACACTGAGCCTACTTTTATTAAGATTTTTATATACATTCATAAGATTTTAAAGTCAGCAAACCTTTTTAATAGGGAGGGAAAGCACCTACACAGTGTGGAAGATTTTCCTTAACTGTCCGAGAATGAACTGATTACATGCGATTCAGCGCGGGAACACCACTTCAGCTCACGCCATCCCCTGAGAAGGCACTGAGAAGTCGGACAAGAACAAGCTTCTAGGAGTGTTGCCGCTGTTGTTTTATGTTCATTACACACTGGAATTGCAAATACACAGGACAAACTTACACCGCACCAACAGCACCTGACACAGAAGAGCTACGAACCACAACTGTAACATCTGTTCTGAGCTAGAAATGCTAAGTACCCTATTTCAGATACTCTAATTTGTAAGTCAATACCTATGATGTAACACTGACACTTTCCCCACAGTGTTCTGAGAGTAAGTGCCGTTTTCTTGCCAATTTTATGAGATCATTTCTTTAATCCTACACTTATATAACTGCCTATTTTTAAAAAATCCATGCTATACGCAATCACAAGAACATGGAACTAAGCTTACTTAATCACACTCGAACAAGAGAACTCACTTGTGCACTGTTTTGTTTCTGTTAAAGGAAGAATGTGTTATTATAATACTTTTAATGTAATACTTTTGTTCAAGAATATGAAAAAATTTGAATCATTTTCTCTCCAGACCACTTCATGGTATAATCAAAGTTATACCTTTTGTTTAATCAACCAACCAAAGAGAAAGAAAAGAAAAAAAAAGTGGACAGACACTTGGCCAGATGAGAAAAAGGGAGAACGCTAACCCGAACTCAGCACACGGAGTCCCGGTCGGCCCGTCCGCCAGCACAGAGGAACGGCAGGCCCACGTCCACTACACTGAACGCCAGATCAGTCCATTTTTACTGGGCTCGAGAAAATTCTCAATCAAAGCTTCAATGAGTTTCTTCAATTCCTCTTCTAGTAAGGTGGTGTCACTAAGCAGAAAGATTAAGAGTTTTACAAGTCTTGATTTCCAGAGCCTTAAAATTTTAATTGTTATAACTTTTAAAGAAGGCGTATACTTGATGGAATGATTAAACAATTGGTAAACAAAAGAGAGATCCACTCATTTAAAACAAAACAAGACCAAAGTGGGAAAAAAAATCACACAAAGAAATAGCAGAAACTGAAGTTGAACTGCATCAGGAGGAGATCCTTGGTACAGGACACATGGACGAGTTACGGTACTTCTAAAGATTTCTCCTGGTCGAGGCGACTTAATGACTTAGAACACCGATTCCAGGTATTAAAAGAAAATGGCTTCCTGAAATACTGGTGTGGCTATTATGGGATGGCCTGGCATGTCTTTCAGGTGGCAGAAGAAAGTGTGACTAAAGGAATGGGGTGTTTAAAAAATAAACGTACACTCACTAGTACACCCCAGAGTTGTCATCTGAAGAGCGGCTGCTGCTCCAAACATTTCTGGAAGAGTCTCTTTTGAACTCCTTCACTTATTTTACATGCTACCCAACAAACCAGTTTTTAGTGCTTTTAAAATTATCCTCTATTTTAAAGCTAGAGCAGCATTACCCAATTTGGTTTACTTTAAACTCTGCTCTTCCCCACCTCCCAAAGGAAATACAGATTTAGAAAAATCCAAAATGACGTACCTAGTAGGCAATTCCAAAAAATCTTCCCCCAAATATATTGGTCAATGACAACACTATCAGAGGTACTACTGTTAATAGGTTTAAATAGCCTTTGAATATGTTTATTAAAATGAAGTAATTTATTCACATACTCTTAAAAGGAAATACATTGGGCAGACTAAGTCATATCATAGTAGATATAGAAAATGGATATTTCACAATAATTAAATTATTTGTTGATTATTTCTTTATGTTCATCATTAAGGCTCAGAGAGCCTTTTCAGGACTACGCATTTACCAAAATTTTAAAAGTCAATTCCCAAATGGTACAGCTGCTTTGGAAAACTGTTTGGCAGTTTCTCAAAAGGTTGAATACAGAACTACCATATAACTCCACAATTCTATTCCTAGACACATACCCAAGAGAAATGAAAACGCATGTCCACATAAAAACTTATATACAAACATTCTGTAGCACCATTATTCATAATAGCCCAATGGTGGAAATAACCCAAATGTTCATCACCTGATAAATAGATAAAAATATGGTTTATCCATACAATGGAATAGTATTGGGCCATGAAAACAATTTTTTTAAAACAAGGAATGAAGGAAGTACTGATTCATGCTACCACATGGACAAACAGTGAAAACATTATGCTAAGTGGGAGATGCCAGTCACAAAGGACCACACACTGTAATTTCATGTCTATGGAGTGTTCAGAATATGCAGCAAATCTACAACGGCAGAGAGTAGCTTGGTGGTGGCCTCAGGCTCCGAGGCAGGGGAATGGGAAGAGACTGCTCACAAGTGTGGGGTTTCCTTCATTCCCAAAGGGTGATGGAAATGTCCTAAAATTGACCACAGCGAGACTTGCACAACTCTGAATACACTAAAAACCACTGAACTGTACACTTTAGTGGGTGAACTCTTTAGTATGTGAATTATATCTTAATAAAACTTTTACATATGATATTTAAAAAGTCAACCCTCACCTCTGCTCAGGCAATGCGCACATCTCTGCGTAATACTTTATCTTCGGTTCTGTCCCGCTTGTCCGAAGAGTAGCAACACAGCCATTTTGAAAAGTAAATGTAATCATCTGGCTGTTTTTACTCACAGGTAGCACCTATGTACAACAGAAATGATGGCTTAATCACACCTGGTAACTTTGTCACTTTCAAGAGTTTTAAAATACATTACACTTACATGTGGTATTTAAAGAAAGTAACGGGGTTGCCAAGGGCTGAAGGGAGGGACAAACGGGGAGTTGTGTGATGGGTGTGGAGCTTTGGGGCAGCAGGAGGAAAAGGCTCTGGGGGTCTGCACGCAGTGAACGTAGTTACCACTGCTGAACTGTGCGCTTAAAAATGCTTAAATTGGTGATTTTATGTTTCATTTTTAATTATTTGCCGCAATTAAAAATAAAAAAATTTTAAAGAATTATAAAAGACAAAAGCAAGTTATATACATAATTCACAAATATGCCACTTACTGGACATATAATAAACAGTACATGCATTGGGCTCCATACCTTACACACATGATCTCTGGGCCTCATCAATGACCCTGCAAACTAAACATTACTCCCGATTTACGGGCAAGGCCCAAAGAGAGCCAACGACCTGCTCAAGGTCATCATCCGCTAAGTGGCAGAGCAAGAAGTTGAAGCCAGGTCTACCTATATTGAAGTCTACACTGCCTGTACATTTGCCAAGTACTTTCTAATTTAAAAAGACTTTCACAGTTTATTACCATATTTCACCATGTACAGTGTGCTCCTGTGTATAATGCACACCCACGGCTTTGCGCACATTATACACGGGATTACTATACCCATGGTGTGTAATCATTATACCCATGTAAAACATCCACTCTATTTTTCCCTCCAAAATTTGGGCAAAAAGTATACATTATACACAGCAAAATACGGTAATAATCACCAAAGCAGAGTTCACATATCCCAGAGGATAGGCAAAATAATTCACTGGGGTGCAAAAAGGTTTAAAATATTTTTTACCGAAAAATTTTTGAAGAAATGAAGCTTTACTGATAGTAAAGATACGGATGAGCGCTGGTACTCGTCCCAGACCACAGATCAGTCTGTGAAGTCATCTCAGGGGAGCTGTGGGGTTTGCACCAAAACAGAGGGGCTGACAGTGGCGCCTTTCCTCAGGTGTCCCGAGCCTGGTCCTCAACTCGAGATCCCTCTCGGTCTATGCCACTACCATATTCTAAGAGAACTTCCTCCCCCGCTTTTTCCTCATAGAACATCAATGAACAAGTCCTGTCTGTTCTATCCTTGACTCACCTGAACTTTGTCCAATTCTCTCCATCACTACTGCTGCTACGGTTAAGTTCAGGCTCCCATTATCTCTCATCTCAATTACCGAAACAGCACACTAACTGACCCACACATGCCATTCTTCCTCGCGCCCCACACTCTAGGGAGCTACTTGTGGTTCTTTAAAGGAGTGCTTTCTTACCTCCAGACCCAGCACTTGCTGCGCCCTTCGCCTGAAACACCCTCTGTTCCTCCTACATCTGGATAACTCCTGCTCCTATTCTAGAACTCAGCTCGCAGAAGAAAGTCTTCCATAAGCCCCCAGAGCTGAGTAGGGGGCTCTTCCTATGCCCTTCCATGGCACCCTATGCACCCCATGGTAACACTTATCAGTTGGCAGGGTAATCGCTGCTTACTCATTCACTTCCCCACTGGACTCCCGAGTGCAGAAACAGGACCCGGGTGTACCTGTGCCTGCGGCGCAGAAGGGTTGTGATAAATGCTTGCTGCGTCCACAGATGAATGTCCGTCAGAGGTGTGGAGAAGAACGAACTCAGGAAGCCTTCGACACACACTATATGACCTTAGGGGGTTAACTATATCTATACTACCTGTCTTACAAAATTGTCATAAGCATCAGTGAAGAACAGATAGAAAAGCTCTTTGAATGACAAATATACACTTTAAAGGGACTTAAGAAGGGAAAAGCAGAATACAAGTACTTCAAGCATAGCAACAATAGAAAATAGAAAGCAAAAAAAAAAATTGGTTCTTTTCTTCAGGTAGTTTACAAAGACACAATAACATATACACACACGTGCCCCGAATACCGATGACTGGGAACCAATATTTGTTGACTGCATTAGTATACACAAAAGCAGTGTGGGTAGTGTTCTCCCCGGGGGGCTACACACTTCCCCTGACACATCATGCCCTAGAATCTTGAGTGAATGCTAGGATGTTATAAATGATAATTTAGGCTAAATATAATCAGTAATCCATGGCATTTAAATATTTGTTGAGTACCTACCATGTGGCCAGGACATCTGAGAGGCCTAAAGGTACATGTATCAGAAAAGGATCTGCCACGTAAAACACAGATAACATAAGATAGAAAGTGATGAATGACAAGAGGAAGCTACAATAGGTAATGAAAACTCAGGAGAAAGAGATCTGCTTATGGGACCTGGAGGATATTTGGAGGTGACATTGCCTTAAGCTGTGAATAATGGCTAAGGTGTGGACCCGCAACAGCAGGAAGAAGAGGTAGAGTGAGGGAACAGTTTGAGCAAAATGAGAGAAATTTAAAACTATATATATGAGAAATTACAAATTGTACTATTTGGCTGGAGGTACAAGAGAATAAAGTTGGAAAGGGAGATTACAACCAGAAAAATGTATAGCTTCAAAATTATAGCCTTTTAGGCTTTATTTTCAACATTATTTATCTAGCCCTGACCAGTGTGACTCAGCCGGGCATCGTCCTACAAAGCAAAAGGATGCTGGTTCAATTCCCAGTGAGGGCACATGCCTGGGTTGTGGTCCAGTCCCCAGTTGGGGTATGTGCTAGAGGCAACCAACGGATGTTTCTCTCTGTCCCTTTCTTCCTTCTTCCCCTTCTCTTAAAAAAAATAAATAAATAAAAATAAACTGACATTATCTAGCATCATTACACATTTTCCTCCCTTCCTTCCCTTTTTCTTTCTGTCTGCCTTTCTTATTTTTTTTCTCACCTCTCTGAGAGTAGCATTCACTCGGGGAGTGATAAGACAGAATCAGTCGGAGAGCCAGTGAGTAGACTTACAACAGCTCTGGAGAAAAACAATGGATCATAGTTTCACGAAACTAATAGGCTTGAACTCCCTCTATTTCCTCATAGTATGAATTATTAAACACTGTTAAAAAGCCCTGGCTCGTGTGGCTGAGTGGACTGAGTGCTGGCCTGAGTGAAGAATAGATAGAAAAGCTCTTTGAATGACAAATATATACTTTAAAAGGACTTAAGAAGGGAAAAGCAGAATACAAGAAGTACTCCAAGCACAGCAACAATAGAAAATAGAAAGCAAAAAAAAAAATTGGTTCTTTTCTTCAAGTAGTTTACAAAGACACAAAAACATACACACACACATGTGTACCGAATACCGATGACTGGGAAACAATATTTGTTGACTGCATTAGTATACGCAAAGGCAGTGTGGGTAGTGTTCTGAACCAAAGGGATGCCAGTTCAATTCCCAATCAGGGCACATGCCTAGGTTGTGGGCCAGGTCCCCCTTAGGGGGCACGTGAGAGGCAAACACACATTGATGTTTCTCTCCCTCTCTTTGTCCCTCCCTTCCTCTCTCTTTAAAAATAAACAAATAAAATCTTCTTTTTTAAATGAAGCAATGGCTATAAGAAAAGAAATAGAAGAAGGACAAAGAAATAACAGTATCATTCTTTAAAAAAAATAAAATAAAAACCTTAAAAAATCTTTTAAAAAGTATTTTTTAAAAGGTACTTACTGATTTCTTATTAGGCTGGCTGCTGTCATATCCAGTGGTAATGTCTCGTACATGCAATATAGCAAATGTCCCACAAAATTTTGGATATTCTTTTGGTGAATCAAAATTGCGAAGCCTTTCAAATATACTTTTGATAGTAGTTGGATCATAACACAAGAAATATGAAGTTTTTGAAATGTGATGACCATACCTGCACAAAGATTTAAAGAGTTCAAATCAGATTTCAGGTAACTCTTTAGAAAAGTACGTATTACAGAGAAACCAATGATAGAATTATGTAGAAAGTAGCAGTCCTTTATTCAGACAATTTTAGTACTTTTTAAAAAGGACTGACTATTCCTTGAAAACAAGTTCAGTGGGACTTACTTTTCATAAACTTTAATAAGTTGCTGATTCAACGTCACATTCATGGTTTCCAGGTAAGATGCCATCTCAGCAACAACAACGGCCGCACTCACCCCATCTTTGTCCAGAACCGCAGTTCCACACAGAAAACCTGAGAATCAAAAAAGAGGAAAATGTAGGCCTGCAATACTTTCCACAGTTCTCCAGTTCTCCAGAAGGAGCAATGAATGAAAAGCCTAGTAATACATGAAACCCACTGATACTGAAGGTATTAAGTGAACCTTTAGGTGGGTTTTTTTCCTGATGAGAAATGAATCTACACATTTCTGAATGCTCTGTGGTTTTTACCACAACTCAGAATACAAAACCAGAAGACAAAAATTCCTCTCCATAGAATTACTACATTAAAAAAAAATGCTGTCATTCAAATTTCAAATATTTTAATATTTACTACATACCAATAGACTCTTCAAATGCAAAAAGGACTTCTTTCCCATTTTCCAGGAGGTCTTTTATCCTACTTCCAATCCATTTAAAACCTGGTAATGTTTCCTGAAATGCAGAGGAGGCCACTCTTGTTAAGTGACTCTCTCACAAATACACATTAGAGAAAAGCCCCTAAATGCACTACATAACACTCGCATAGTGATCTTCTGTTATGGTGTTTGGTTCACAAAGATCTATACAGTGAGTTCTGGCTGGTGTGGCTCAGTGGACTGATATGGCTGGGAACCAAAGGGTTGCTGGTTTGATGCCCAGTCAGGGCACCTGCTGGGGTTGCAGGCCAGGTCACCAGTGGGGGCCACATGAGAATCAACCACACATTGACATTTCTCTCCTTCCTCTCTTTTTCCCTCCCTCCCCCTCTCTCTAAAAATAAATCAATAAAATCTTAAAAAAGATTTATATAGTGGTAAACATATAGTCATAACGCGCATGGAAACACAGACTGCCAGGACCAATGGCCTACTATTTATCAACCACAGTAATAGGTGACTTAACACCATATTCCCATATTTACATATAAATAATCCCATATTTACAAGTGGTGATGCATATACTTACAAAGTAACATATTATGACCATCTACTATTTATCAAACCATGTAACAAGTGCTTATATCATTATCATTTTTTAAAACTTATTTGATTGATTTTTGGAGGTGGGGAAGAGGGAGAGAGAGAGAGAAGCATTGATTTGTTGTTCCACTTATTTATGCATTCATTGGTTGCTTCTTGTATGTGTCCTGACCAGGGATTGAACCCACGACCTTGGCACATTGGGACGATAGTATAACCAACTGAGCTACCTGGCCAGGGCCATCATTATTATTTTTTTTTATTTTCACCTGAGAATTTCTTCATTGCTTTTAGAGAGAGGAAGTGAGAGAGGAAGAGAGAGAAAGAGAGAAACAAAGAGAGAAGAACTGACTGGTTGTCTCGCATACACTCCCAGACGGGGGACCTCTGGGCCCAGACCAGGGATGGTACCCTTCGGCCATGCGACAAAGCTCCAACCAACTGAGCCACAGTGGCCACATCCCAGTATCATTTTTAATGCTCACAAAAACTCTGTTGCTGAAACAGGCTCAGAGGTTCAGTAAATTTGCCCAAGATTATGCTGCATACAAGAGACAGAGGCAGGATTCAGTTGCACTGCATCTCAGAAACTGTCCTTTAAGCTATACTATAAGCACTAAAATAAGAATACTTAGGGAGATTGTGATTTAGTCCCCTTGAGTAATCAAAGGCCACGAAACTTTTCAATGATGCACTTTCAACATTATCACAACATTTGCCTAAACCAAGCATTGTTTACCATAACACCAAGCCCTTCTTTGGTCATTAGATTTGAGGACTCTGCATCTGACAGCTATTGTTCCCTTTACAGACATGAACTGTTTCAGAGTCAACAGAAAGAGCATGTGATACGCACTGTCTCCAGAGAGCACCATTCTAGTTCACCTCTATCTCCTCACTGGGAAGTAAAAGTAAAAGCCAAAACCATATGCCACCCCTACTTCCAACAATAAAAACAAGAAAGCAAATTTATAATATTGGTTTTTGGAATCATTTCTTTTTTTCTCTTTTGTGCTCATTATATATTTTCTTGCCATAAATAGAAATGCTAAAAATGTTAATTTAACATTACTATAATTCAGAATCTTAGGCTTAAATAAAATTTGACTTTCTTCTATTTTGCTCTTTGTATTTTAGAAAGCCTAAGGTTGAAAACTCTATTTTACCAGGACAAGTACAACTGTCTTTTCTTCAGCCAATTAATGTTAAGACCTGTAGCTGGACTGTGACTCAAGAAAAATGCCCAGAGGTGACATTTTTACTGATATTTGGCAAAGATGGCAGAGGAAAAGCAACTTCATTGACATTAGTCCCAGTAGCTGCTAAAATGGTCAGTTGAACTGCCAGGGGCTCACAGAGATTAGTGATCTGTGCTGAGAGAGGCATTATTTTGTTTTTTGGCTGTAGAATGATTGGATCTTAATTTACAATTTAGAAGACTAAAGTTTCTTAAGACTGAACTTGAAGAGCCTAAACAAGTAGTCCATGACACCTACAATTTTTTGCAGTGGAGCTTATGTTACTGATGAGGTCACCAGGTGCCAGATTTTCTCAGTATGAAAACCAGATACTGTTGTATGGAATAATAAGCATTAATGCAATTTTTAAAGAACATTTTATCTAAGTTTCGGACATTCACACACTAGATGAATTTGGCTCAATTGTCTAAATCATCAAAAAGATAAAAGTGTGAGCAAAATTAGAAAAAAGTAAGAATTATAAATGAAATTAATAAAAGTCAGTTTTGGTAGGGAGACAGCTTGAATTTACAGAAACAGGTTTAGAAAAGTAGCATAGAGATATTATCTATTCTTACTTCAAAATGAAATCCTTCTTTAAGTGCAATGGCCTTCAAGATTTTGGAGGAGACTGTGGTGGCCAACATGCAAACGTTCTTCACATCGGCATTTTGTGATTTGTTTTTCTTCCAACAATCAAACATCCACCACCCAAACAGAGCTGCCAACTCATTCCCTGTGAAAACCTTCCAATGACCACTGCGTAGAAAATAAAAGGTCAAGCCAAGACTTTTATAGTTTCTCATTATATCTTCTTGACCCAAGACCTACAAATTATCATCCTTCATATATAGGAAAACTCAAGAACTACTGTATGGAATTTTTGAGAAGACATTTACTACTACTTTTCTAACTGACCAAAGGTGAGCTTAGGGTAGAAATGGTAGCAACGTCTTTTGAAAAACTGTCCCTTTTATTTCTCTACTTAGAAAAACGTTAAAAACATGATGCCCTTTCTTTGTAAAGACAGTTGTCACAACACTATACTAGCAAAAATATACAGCCACTCAAGGGACCACAACTGGGAAAGGATCACATTTATAAGCAGTCTGTTGTAATATTATGCCATTTAAAAATTTAATATTTTAAACAACATTTAAGGATAGCAAAAAAATCACAGTATAATATTAAGTGAAAAGTAATCAATATAAAATTATACACAGGGTGGAACAAAAGTAGGTTTACAGTTCTTCATAGGGAGACCAAATCAATAATTAACAAATAATACAAGAATAAACTATTTTGTGTATTCACAACTATAAACCTACTTTTGCCCCACCTGGTATAGTGTGATCACAATTTTGTAAAAATAAATATATCTTAAATATTTGAGTAGAAAAAACTTGGAAAGGTTAACCCAGGTGGTTATTCTTAGATAGTAGGCTTACAGGAGATTTATTTCTGTATTTATTTTAGCATTTCCAACAAATCTGTAAGACTTAAAATCAAAAACCATTTTTCAAAAGTTAAGCTTTTCATCGAATAACAGGTTCCACTGACTTCTCCTGAAGTTCTGCCACTGCCAGTCGGTCTGCATCAGGATCCGTGGCCACCACGATCCGGGCATTTTCTTTCTCTGCCAGTCTCAGAGAAAGCTCCTGAAACGGGGACCCAAGAAGCTGGATTGTATTTAAGATGTTAAATTCAATGTCAATATTTCTAAATGTAGGCACTACGTTAGTGATATGAATTTTAGAAGAAATACAGTTCGGCTACATTTAAAATAAGCCTAGAAGTAGGGCTATGTCTACCATAGAGATTTCAAACAATACAGAATAAATGGCTCCAATATAATTTAAAAGATGTAAACTGAAGTGGATTCTGCTTTTGTAAATAATCTTTGAACTGTCAATGAGTTCTATTTGACGAAGTTTAACACACTCCTAATAATTTAAGTATAGAGAAAAGTACCAGCACAGATTCCCCCTCTTCAGGATTGGGGCATTTAACGGTGGAGAAGTCTGGATCCGGGTCTTTCTGTTCTGGCACCGGAATTGGAGGCTTAAAACCAAACACTTGAAAAGCCAACTGCACATAATCATGTCCGACCCCATGGAAAGACGTATGTACAAATTTCAAGGTGGTCTTTGAGTTTAATTCCCTGTGAAGGAAAATCATCACTCAATCAGTTATAAAACTCGTTACTTGTGATATAATTAAAATAAACTAGAGAAAAAGCTGAAGTCTATTTTGTAGGATAAGGAAAACATACTCAGCCAGCCAGGAAGCTTTCTAGTAATAGCATTAGTTATTTATGCAATAGTTAATGAAAATATGGAAAAAGAATAGGAAAAATAAAATTTTAGAGAAAATCTCTTGATCTTAAATAAAGGGAATTTACATATTTAGCTATCTTTTTTAACAGCTTTATTGAGAGGTAATTAATATACTATACAATGCATCCATTTAAAGTATATGTAATTCAATGACTTGCACTATATTTAGAGTTTTCCAACCATTTTCATAATCAATTTTATAACATTCTCATTATGCACCCCCCCAAAAAAACTCGATACGCCATAGCTGCCACTCCCTAACTGTCCATTCCTCCCAACCACAGGTAACCACCTGTGTACTTTGTCTGTTCCTGTCTCTCTAGATTTGCCTGCTCTGGGCATTTCAGGTACATAGAATCATATAATACGGGGCCCCTGGTGTCTGGCTTCTTTTTCTTAGGATATTTTCCAGGCTTACCAGGTTGTAGTATGCATCCATAATTCATTCCTTTTCACTGCTGAATAATATTTCATTGTATGGATATACCATATTTTATTTATCTCTTCATAAGTTGATGGGTATTTAGGTTATTTCTATTTTTTGACTATTATGAACAGAATTATTTAGCTATAATTTTAAATATAATAATCAGCCAATACCTTCCCCCCTTTTTTTGTTTTCTTTTTATTTATTATTGTTCAAGTATAGCTGTCTCCATTTTCCTGCTACCACTTTCCCTGGCACCACCCACCCCCACCTCCCACCCTCAATCTTATTTGTTGATCTTATTCTGAAGTAATACTATCCTATATTCCCACTTGATACCTGTAAAAACATATCTTTTTCAGATCTTCCATGTATCTCCTACAAATGTCCTGCAGAGGATCTCTCTTCAGTGGGCTGGTATCCACTAAATTATCATTCCAAGAGCCATTCCAGGGCTCCACGCATTCTTCTATGCATTTCAGGATTTCTTTGTCATGAGGAGACGTGATCTGAGCACCTGTTTCCCAATAAACCTGGGTAACAGGCAAATGCAGTTATAAATACTTAAAGTGTTGGTCAGATAGTTTCTTAGCTACAGTAGAGATATTTCACTTTAAAAAGAAGCTAAATTAACCAAATAGAAAATGTCAGCACAGAACTAGTTTAATAAATACCAGTATACACTGATGGCAATAATTACACAACGACTCTTCAACAAAATGATCATCTATTCTTTCTCTTTTAGAAGTATACTTTAATAAAAATAGGGCATGACTATGACAACATAGTAAGATACGTATGCCAGCATATCCAGTCATACTCTTATATTAACTGTATACCTAAGATAATCTTAGCAACCATGGAACATCCAGAAAACTTGATACTGTAAAATTTTAGCATTATAAAGTGGTTCTACTATGTGATAAAGAAGAAATTATTTTTAAGTTATAAATTAAAGTAGAATTTATGTCACAACAAATAAAGTCTATAAAAGACCATGTTAATTATCCCGTATATATTTTAGTATATGCATTTTCAGCACTTAATGAAAATACACTTCATTAAGTTGTCGGTTTGTCAAGTAATTTTATCAAGCAGATATTAGGAACAGGTAATAAAAAAAGGCAAGAAAATGTATTTCTCTAATTTGCAAGATCTCAAACTTAGAAAGGACTCTGCTTAGAGAATATCTATGCTGACTTTGACCTTGTATATGACATGAATCCCCTCTGCTGCATCCTGAGTGAAGGAAAGAATATACTTGAACATGCACTAGGTACTAAGTTCTGTGCCAAGCAATAAGGTGGACAAGATAACCTGAGATTCTCACTCTATAAAAACCTCAAAATCCTAGATAAAGTAGAAAAAGTATTATCTCAGATGCATACTTAGTTCACAAGAAGGAAAGGGAAAACTCCAGGTGAAGGGAAAAAAGGGAAGAACTGGAAAGCAGTGATAAGGGTGTGGGCTGATGCTGTGGCTGCCTGGGGTTTAGCAACTGTCTGTTTACCTGGTTCTGGAGTGTGGAAAGGAGGAAATTGGAACTGAGACACCCCTCAGTAGAAATACAGAACAGAAAAAACTCTGCGCACTCTTATAGAGAGATAGTGAGGAAGCATGTCTAAGTTTTCTTAGTTCTGAATGATTTAGAAAAATTCAAATCTGAGGTCTAAATCAACAGAGAAATTGCTCCTAGTCAGTGAAACTCCCAAGGTTCCTGCAGAAATTAAAAGCAAAAACAAACCCCCCTGTGAAGGGATGTTCCCACATTCCATGACACAAAAAAGATTCTACCCATAGGTCCTGAAAGCTCACTGTGAGCATCTACAAAAAATGAGAAAAAAATCCTGGCCTTTCTCCCGGCCCACTTTTTCTTGCCTTGTATGTTGGACACGATGCCTGGAGATATAGTAACCATCATGTGATGACCACACTTGAGGGAAAGGCTAAAAAAAAAATTGGCAGAGATGCTAGGCCTGGTATCATGGAGCGGCAGAACAGCTATCTACCTATGGACTCTTTGTTATGTGAGAAAAATTCATGCTCATCAGCTTAAGCCACTTTTCTGAGTTTTCTGAAACGACAACAGAAAGTATCGCTACCTGATAAAGTAACAACAACAACAACAACAAAAAATCCACACAATGTATTCCAAAATATACCCAGGAATAGAACTTTAAAAGAAATGTAAAAAAAATCCATTTCACTAAAGAACCTAAAAGAACTATTGAGAGAATAAATCCTGTTCATGAATAAGGAGACTCAGTAACATTATAAAAATACTGAAACTTCCTAAACTAACCTGCTGCTATAAATGAGAAGAATGATAACAACAGCTAACATTTATTGAGGATTTATCGGAGCCAGCCACTGTTGTAGTATTTTACACTCATTATCTCCTTTAATCTTCACTCTCAGAACCACTCATGTTGGTTCTACTATATCTCCAGTTTACAGATGGGGAAACCAAAGCACAGAGAAATTAAGTTAATTGTCTCAGGTCACAAAGCTTCTGAGTCCCAGAGGTAGGTTTCAAACCCAAACCATACTTTTAACTACTGTTCTACACTGACTATGTCAATCTGCTTGCATGTATGAACAAAGATTATGTAGAAGAACATGTATTTCAGCACTGTTTATAACCAGACGATCAGAAACAAAGGAAATAGTCATCAACAGAGAAATAATTAAATAAACTAGGATTCATCTATATAGGTTTTTAAAGACCAGTGAGGCAGATGGATCTATCTATCTATCTATCTATCTATCTATCTATCTATCTATCTATCTATCATCTATCAACGGAGAGAATGATCTCGAATGATAGGCTGTTTTGTACTGCTGTGTGAAAAAAGCAAGGTGCAAAACACTGTATAGAGCACCCTACCATTCACGGAAAAAAAGGAGGCAATGACAAATGCATATCTGATTATATACATGCATAGACTATCTCCAGAAGGAAACAAAAATTGGAAACAGTATTTGCATCTGAAAGAGGTACTGGGGAAAAAGGGATGGGAGAAGTAATTGTTATTGTTTAACTTTTTAGACTGTTTAACTTTTATACTTTTTACCTAATACTTATATTTTAAGAAGAAGAAATCTTTGAGGGTTTACTATGTGACAAATATGTTTAAAAGCAATGGATATTAAAACAGACTAAGTCCCTTCACCGATGAACTTACACTGGGAATGGGGTCAAACAAACATATCAACAAACAAAATAATTTATTATAAAGAAAGCAGATGATTAGAGATAAATGTTAAGTTTTGTGCAGAAAATAAACAAGACGCCAGCAGGTCACTGAGGGAAGGCACTTCAGATATGGTGACCAGGGAAGGTCTCTTCAGGGAAGAAACATCTGGGCAGGAGGCTGAAGGATGGAAATAGGCCAATCTGCAAGATTTGGGGAAGAGAGACCTGAGCAAAGGAAAACACAATTACGAAGGCTCAGAGGTGGGAAAGGGCTTGGTATACGGGAGGAACTGGAAGAACAGTAAGAAGAGGCAGTGTGACTGGCTTGCAGTAAGCACAGGACAGCAATGAATGAAACAAGGATGAAGAGGTAGGCAGGAGATAGAATCCCATAAGCCCTAAGGTAGGGAGTTTGGGTTTTGTTTGAAGAATGAGAAGCCATTGAAGAATTTTAAAAGCAGGAAAGTCACATGACCTGTTTATATTTTAAGTGATCATCTGGTCCCCTGGTGGAGAACTGATGGCAGTGGAGACCAATGGAAGCAGGGAAGAGACCAGCTAGGAGGCTGAAGTTCAGACAGAAGACAACGATGCTTCAGAATGGTGGTGGTAGAAGGCAGGAACAGAAATAAACACATTCAACATACATCTTATATTTTAGATGTAGAATGTGTAGAACCTGTTAGTGGATTAAATGTCAGGAGTGAAGGAGGGGTAGTATCAATTCACAGAGATGGGAAGACTGAGAGGAACACATTTGGGTGTGCATGGGGCAGGTTGGGGGGGGAATCAAGTCTTTTCTGGAGACACTAATTCTGACATGTCTGCTAGGCATCCCAGTGGATAGCAAGCAGGCAGCTGGATTTAGGAGTCTGATGCTCAGAGGAGATCTGGGTTATCAGCTCTTTTGACCGTTGACCTTTCCTTCCTTGAAATCTCTTACCCCTTTGTTTTTTTAAGATTGTATTTATTTATTTTTAGGCAGGGGAAGGGAGGGAGAGAGAGAGGGAGAAAAATATCTATGTGTGGCTGCCTTCCACAAGCCCCCCAATGGGGAGACCTGGCCTGCAACCCAAGCATGTGCCCTGACTGGGAATTGAACCCGAGACCCTTTGGTTTGCGTGCCAGCACTCAATCCACTGAGCGACACCAGCCCTTTGGTTTTCATGACACTAAAATTTTCTGGTCTTTCTCCCATCTCCAGCACTTCTTTTTCCCTTTTTTTAAAAAAAGATTTTATTTATTTATTTTTGGAGAGAGGGGGAGGGGAAGGGAGAGGGAGAGAAACAGCAATGTGTGTTGCCTCTTGTGCACCCCCTTCTGGCCTGCAACCCAGGCATGTGCCCTGACTGGGAATGAAACCAGTGACCCTTTGGTTCACAGGCCTGCACTCAATCCACTGAGCCACACCAGCCAGGGCCCAAATACTCTCAAATACTCTAATATGTATGGTGATCCCCAAATCTACAACTTCAGCCCATATTTGTTCCCTGAGCACCAGATCTATGTATCTAACTGTGTGTAGGACGTTGCTATATGGTTGACCAAGTATCTTAAACTTAATATATCCAAAACTGAATTAATCATGCTTCTTCCCTACCTCTGGTAACACTGCCCACTTAGCTGGCTGGGGCCCAGGATCTTAGATTACTATTAAATCTTATTGTTTTCGGTAAAACAGTCCAGTGTACCTGCAGACCTCTCACACGAGAAGAAAAACAAATATAAGATCCTGGACTTACCACCCAGGAGCCCCAAACACACTCGGGACTGTGCTATGTGTGTGCTGTTTGCTCCCCTAGGGCCACTCTTCCCCCTTCCCCACCCTGCTTTCTGTCACGGAGGCGGACACATCAGGTGGGGCCTGTGGCCAGTGGGGCAGAAGGTTAGAGGTGAGGACAGTGATTCCTCAAAGTACTATTCCTCAGCTTGCTTTCTGCAAACTCCATGAATTCTTCAAGTTTTTGATACAAAATGATTTTATTTCTGAAATGGTAAAGACAATGGATTTGGGATAGAATGGGGAAATCAAGAGCAAGAAGATATTAGAAGTAAAGAGACCAATAAAGAGACCTTTGTAATGACAGTACATGTTAAGAAGTAGTAAGGGCCATCAGAGATACACATTCTTTGAGGAATGGCCTCACTGTTTTTACCTTCCTGTCCCCAATGTCTAGCTTTGCTTCTTGGTGCAGAAAATATACTCAACACTTATAGAAATAAAGTAAAACTAGGTAAATAAGCAAAGAATAGGAGTCCAAGGTTTACCTTGTATCCATTGTCTTCTTTGCGGTTGTGAGAAGCTGTAATCATCACCCCTGCAACTGCTTTGAGCTCCTGGACTGCGTACGGCTGAAACAACAGTGAGGGCATAATTTCATTTCACTTTCTGGCTGTGCATACATTTGACATCAGAACACCTTTGACTAAATGACAGTAAAAGACATTAAGATACAAATAGCCTAAAACCTCAACCATCAACTCTGGTTCATTGGGTGGGGCCCATTTCTAAAAGGTCACCAATAACCACCTGTTGGGCTAAATGGATTATCCCCCAGACTCATTTAACTTAGTTCTGTAAATGCTTTTTATTATTTTTTAAAGATTTTATTTATTTATTTTTAGGTCCCTGCTGGGGACCTGGCTCACAAACCAGACATGTGCCCCGACTGGGAATCAAATTGGTGACCCTTTGGTTCACAGGCCAACACTCAATCCACTGAGCCGCACCGGTGGGGCTGTTTATTATTTTGTTCATTTAAGAAATATTTAATGAGCACTTACTATATGTCAGACACTGCTCTACACTCTGAAGATATAAGTGGTGAATATAATCATAAAATGTTAAGAGCTGGAAGTAAATTTAGAAATCACCTAATCCACCACATTTTACACTTAGGTTTATCCAACATTATATAATCATAAGAGAGGGGATTCAAGGGTAGAACATGGTCTCTTGTGTTCCAATTTGAAAATCTGTATATATATATTCTGTGGCTTCTACTATCATCTTTGTTTCCAAAGATAATTCCTGGAGGTTGGATTTTCCTTTTCCTTTGTAGTGGTGAGCGTTTGTCTACCTGGGATGTTCCCCCTGCTCCTCTACCATCACATCCACCTTCTTTCCTCCTGGCAGGGAAATATGGACACATGATCCAGTCCTGAGCTGAGTAACCCACCCCCTGGCAATTTAATTCAGAAACTGGTTAAGAATATGCCTGGTCAGAGTCCTTTCTAAGATGTTTCTGCTTCAGGTAGAGAAGGAAGAATGCCTTTCAGCTCAAGGTCATGGTGATAAAGGGTGTGACTCTGACACTGCTAAAAATAACTTCCCTACCAGCTGGAGCAAACCTACCTTCAATAAGAGAGAAAGAGGCCACACAGGGATTGAAATACTTGGGACTGGCAACCCAGCGGCAGAATCCGACAGAAATGTTTGAAATTTCTGGAGCCTTCCTGGTTTCTGTCATTCATCAGACTCAACTGTTTAATAATTTCTTCAATTCTTAGAGCTACTCAGTATATTTCTAATAAATCACTAGCCACCATTTATGGAGACATTATTTCTTCCCCAAACATTTGGTAAAACTTGCCTATACAATGATCTAAAATTGGCACATTTAATTTGAGAAGATTAGAAGATATTTATCAGTTCAGCCTTAGCTAGCATGGCTCAGTTTGTTGGGCACATTCCTGCAAAGCAAGAGGTCACCGGTTTGATTCCCGTCAGGGCACACGCCTGGGCTGCAGGTTCGGTCCTGGGTCAGGATATACAAAAGGCAAACAACTGATGTTTCTCACATTGGTGTTTCTCTCCATCACTTTCTCCCTACCTTCCCCTCTCTCTAAAAATAAAAAAATAAAATCTTTAAAAAATATATCAGTTCAATTTCCTTAGTGGTTACAGGCCTATTCAGGCTTTTCTACACCAGTTTTGATGTATCAATTATTCTAGGAAATTGGCCAGTTCATCTAAGCTTTCACATTTTTTTGCAGTATGTTCAGAATATTATGATTTCCTTAATCTCTGCTATATTTAGTATTCATCTTTTAAATTTCTTTATTTGTGTCTTTTCTCTTTTTTTTCTTGAGCACCCTTGCTAAAGGTTTATTTTATTAGTCTCTTCAGAGAGCCAACTTATGCTTTTGTTGATATCCTCTTTCTTTATTTCCTAGTTAACTAATTTTTCCTCATATGTTTATTATTTCCTTCCTTTTACTTTATTTGAATTTACTGTTTCCATTCTAACATACTAAGTTAAAGGCTTAGCTCATAATTTTTAATCTCATTTTCCTAATCTATTCATGCACTATAAATTTCCCTTTAAGTAGGACTTTAGTTACAGCCCATAATTTTTGCTATTTATTGTTGCTCAGTTTTAAATACAGGTAGTCCTTGCTTTGCGCAGTTCTGATATATACAAATCTGACACCATATTTTATTTTATTTAAAAAAATTTTTAATCCTCACCCAAGGACATTTTTTCACTGCTTTTACAGAGAGAGGAAGGGAGAGAAACACTGATTGGTTGCTTGCCGCATGCTCCTGGACGGAGGACTAAACCCACAATCTAGGTATACGCTGTGACAGGGAATTGAACTTGCGGCCTTTTGGTTACAGGACAATGATCCCACCAACTGAGCCACACTGGCCAGGGCTCTAACACCATATATTACTTAAATAATACCAGTCTCCCCACATGTTCAAATTTTAGTACGAACTTGGCTGCTAGCTCTTCGGTCCACAATAACTATGTAGGTAAGAGATCCATCATGATCAGTGATCAATCATGTCACTCTCTTAAGGTCTGCCAGTGACCAGCACTGAGCATGTTACTCAGCTCCACACAGACAGGAAAGCTCGTAGGTGTGTCACCTCCCCATCTCCCAGTGGTAAACCCACACAACAGCTTGCAAAAGTGGGTAACTGAGAGAGGGAACTGACCAGCAAAGATGAAAAGGCAGCAAAAACACAGAAAGTAATAATAGTAAAAGTGAAATTTGAATCAAATATAAATGGAGTTCTAGAAAAAAATAACTGGGAATTCCAGAGACTCTAAATCTGTAGCCAGCTGAGGTTAGTTAGTGAAGGCGGATATATGGACATTAGCAGGGGACAGTTATGACGAAAGGAACGAAGATGTCCCCGAGGAAATGATAGTAGCAAAAAAAGGAATTCTCAGAGATGTTTCACAATATTGAAAGTACCACAGATAAACCTGGAAAGCTGCTCCGAACTCAGAAGTGTGACACTTGGCTAAGGTGTGGAAAAGACGCCTGCTCACACTGTCAAGGGGCATGACAAGAAGCAAGCACTGTCCATACTCTTGATGAATTATTTTACAAAGGAATAAAACACTTCGGTTCTCACTGTTCTAAATTACAGTGTAGTAAATAAATATTCGTTTTACCATTTTTTATTTTCCCTATACATTTTTAACCAACAGTAGGGTTAAGAGTATGTTTTTACAAAAAATTTTAAAGGTTACAGAGCAAATTTTCTCCATTAATATTAACATCAATGTGCATGGTTTCATAGTCCTGCGCTGCCATACGAAGTGAGGATTGCCTGTAGTTTCTAACGTCCTCTATGATACCTTCTTTAATCCATAAATTATATATATATATATATATATATATATGTTTTTAAAATTCCAACGTTAGGTTTCTTTATTTCTAATCTTATTGCATTGAGGCCCAGGGCTATAGCTTGATAAACTGTTCTCCAGTATTTATGGAGATGTCCTTTGTGATAAGGATGTGCTTGATAAGAATGAATATCCTACCATCGCTGCATACAGAGTTTACAGACATGCATGCACACACACACCAATCGAACATGCTAACGGTGTGTTCAGATCTATCCTTAATTGTTTTCACCTGCCCAATAAATTGGTTTCTGAAAGAACAGTAATAAAATAGACTACCGTGATGGTGGATTTTTCCACTTACTACAGATCAAATTCTTAAGTGGTTCAACACATATTTATTGAATGAAAATAAATTCAGAGCAACATTTGTGTTCCTTTGGCACTTATTATGACTTAGTACAAAACTATATGCAAGACAAATATTTGAATCCTGGTTGATTTAAGAGATCTTTTCAAGAGCAGGAAACTTGTAAGATCAGTAACACAATATACTTACTACAAAAGGTGTAGGAACGTATCTTGAAAAAAGGTACACAGGAACATCTTTGGCCAGTAAGACTGCAGCAGTGAGTTTAGCGAGGCTAAAAAAAAAAGAGATTTCACTTAGTCTTACCATACTCCTTAAAAAAGCAACCTTCCACAATAAATGTCTCATATTACAATTATTATGAATATAGAGTAGGCTAATACAATGAATTCTTATCACTGGTTATTTAAGCTTCAGGCTCCAATTTAAAAATGTTAAGTGAGATTTTTTAAAAGGAGCTGAACAAAGAAGAGAATTGACATTTTAATTTCTTTTTCCTCATTCATCTTTTGATGATTCTTTTACTAAGAAATAAAACCTGGAAAAGGCAAAAAGAATGGAGAAAATGAAATGAGACTTTAATAAACACAATATGAATAATTACCCCCTGAAAGAAGCATCAGTATATCATGATGATCCGTGTGTAAAAATACCGTAAAACTAATCAAATAAAACTACAACAAAAAGCCCACAAGCTACATCATTACTCCTACCCAGCGCCTGTGTCAAAATATAAAGTCATAAAATAAGCCATAATATCATTCTAAATACTTACTCTAAAAATTTTTAAATGTTACTCCTTTTTGTAAAAGCTAAAGCTAATCTTTGAAATGCTTCTATTTTAGCTCTAAAAAAAACATTAGCATGTGATTACATTTCTGTTTGACACTTTCCTGTTTCAGAAATCCTACTAGAAAAAAAAATAAGGCCTTTTTCCCAATCCAGTTTAATCTCTGAAACAATTAACACTGTACCTCTGGCTGCTGCAGCTGCTAGTTACTTGCCCCCGGGTATCATACCCCACGACAAAGCCCCTCTGCTTGAAGTCTGAGAAACATCTCTCAAGGTATTTGTACATCCCCTGAAGCAGATAAACACAAAACATTAGTTCCTAACTAATGCCTGCAGTTTTCTACGACTTAAAATCTGTCATTTTATGTGCAGTGTGCAGTTCTTGGGCTCCTAGAGATCTGGCTTGGCCTTTATGCCCTTCTTTACCAATGTGGGAACAATACAGATCAGTACTCAAAGGTGAGATGACAAATGTTTCCTTCCTGGAGTTTCAGACCCATTTGATGCAGAGAAATATCAAGTAACTAACTATTAAACCCAATATGATACATAAAACACGAGGAAAAAGAAGATGGGACATGAGAGTCAGTAGGCTAAAACAAATTGTTAGAAGAGCCAAAAGAAATGATTTCTTGACTTACGGCTCCAGAGAACAGAATTTTGACCATTTTAGGCCTTGCTAAATCATAAACTGGAAGCTAACCAAAAGACTTCACATATTTATGATACAAACATTTTTCTCAGCAATGTAAACCATTATCAGAACATTTCTTATGATGGTTTATCCCATCTGTAATTCCTTAGTTTTAAAATGTCACAGAAAAGAAAATCCCATAAACTAAGAATATTAGTGGTCAAGGATGATGAAAAAATGATTGAAAACATCATGAGAATAGCTAAAACCATTTAACTATTGAATGGATGATGTGCTAACTTTAACTTTCATTTTTAAATACAACACTTCATTCTTGTCACAGTTCTTTAAAACTACTTTCACAAATGTTGCGACATTTAACCTTTACAACAAGCCTGAAAAGAAAGAGATGCAATACCATTTCTATTTTTGTCTATCTTTCAACATCTCTTCAAAAAGGAAACAGAGTAAGACTGATGCTCCATTTAATGACTTGCCCAAGGCCACTCATTGAACTAAAACTAAGTTATACTAATTGACTAAAGAACTACTATGTGGCGAGTAATGCTAAGTAACTATGTGGCAGCAACAAATGAGGCCCCAGAGGCTTCTGGATCCATCTTCCATGGATCTTTCAAGAATAATTATTCTTCCTAACCTACTCTCTTTGAGTCAGAGGGAGGGAGAGAGAGAGAGAGAGAGAGAAAATGCTCAAATTGGCTAGTTTCACTCACTTATTTCTAATGATTATACTACCCTAAAACCTCACAGAAACTCGTATTATTCTGTTATTCTCTAGTATGAAAATCCATTTTATCTGATCCCCCTGTACTCAGATTCTTATAAGGGCTAGGGCTCAGAATCAGATTCCAACTGGTTTTTCCACTCATACTCAACTCCTGTAAAAATTTGCACTTCTATAGGAAATGATTTTCAAATAGCTCCTCTGCCCCTTTTGTAAAGTCAAGGAATCTTCATTTAAAATTAAAGCTTACAAAGACCCTCATATATAAAAAAGCCTGAACGGAAGCACCTCTGGATGAGGAGATGGGGGCAGGGAGATGGTGTGTATTCTGCCTCTTCAGTCAGCTTGCCATCACTTCTGCCCCATCCCCTGCACTAGCCCTCTAGAGAATTCCCTCAGAACAAGGCTAAAGATGATTCACTGTTTGGCAGCAGCGATTAGAATTATGACTATTGAACATCTCTCTACTCCAGAACTATTTTTAGTATATGCTAAATGCATTTCGGCTTCAAGCAAAGAAAGTATAGTTCCTTGAATCAGAGAAGATGATTCATTGGAAAGAGAAATAATTTGCTTCCAAAATAAGCTACATAAAATGGGGAGTAATAAAATATATGGTATCATGTCATACACTGTATTACAGAACTCTCAAATGCATATGGATGACCACATCCACATGTGGAAGGAAAATATTTTAATCGAAATTTTCCAAAATTCTGGTTAACCTTTATCAATGGCCATATGCCAAAATGGGTAATCTATATTTGTTTCTTTTATTCACTGGAAAGGTCAATATTCATTTCCTGGGCGTTAAATGCAAAGTAACACTGTCAAGAAGTTGACAATGGCAACCAAAATAACTCTTAATCAGAAACTTACTCTGTGACCTTGAAGATATAGAAGTGACTTCTAAAATAAATCAAAGGTCAGTATTCTACATTTTTTACCTACAGGAGAGTACCTTCATGGATACTAAGGTTTTGTTTTGTTTTTTTTTTTGAGAAAGTCACTACCTAATTTATAAGGCAAAAAAAAAAAGAAAAAGAATAAAGTGATAAAAAGTATATGTATAACACTTTATAATACTTACCTGTGTTGACTGTATTACTGTAAGGTCATTGATATAGCAAAACCCCGCCCCCATAGCAGAACGGAGGCCTGCAGTCCCAAACGTCATCCGGCAGCAAAGACGGTCTCGCAGCTCCTTGTTCATTCCATTCCGTAGCAGATTTTCAATTTGCTCTTTTGTTTTGGGGTTCTATAAAAAAGAAGTATTAAAACTTAATTAGGGTGACAAGCAGAGTCCTAATATGAAGTGTTTCTGAGGAGCTAATAAATACTATGTATATATCACACATTTCCACATTCACCATAAACTCCAATAGTGTTACTTAATATTAGTATGTATAATAAAATAGCACCTGCCATTTATTGAGTCCTTAAAGGAGACAAAGCTCTATGAGGATGACTTACATTATCTCGAATTGTCACAGTATTATTTATAACATATTCAAGTATGTTTTTAAAACAAATCGATAAGATCTACAGATCCAAAGTAAACCCCTCAGTCAAAAATGGGAGAAATAAACAGAAAACTGTAAAAATAAATAAATAAATAAATAAACTTTCCTTCATTTAAAATTAAAAAAAAAAAAAGAGAGAGGGAGATTAAAAAAAAAGAAATCTACACAGAAATACATAAAGTAACAATAAAACTGAATGAACACACACAAAAAAATGACATTAATTAGAGTTTACATTGAGTTTTAAAACAAATATAGAAGCTACTGAGAACATACCATAAAAACATGCCTACCAACCACCTACACAGAACTCTGCAATTCAAAATGACCAGTGAAACCTACCTTTTTTGAAAGTCACAGAAAACCATTCTATTTCATCTAAACTAAGAGTTGACCATAAAAACATCTTAGGTGTTACATACATGTGGACTTATTTAAGCATGAGAATGACAATTCAGTCCAAATGTGGCTTGGGAGGCAGGACGTGCCAACAACTATATTTTAGGATTTTGTGTTTCATTAGCACATATTTTAACTAATTCTCATAAGTCTCAAGGATGACAGTGACTCATAAGGAGTGCTTCACAAAACAGTAGCAACTTTCAAATGAAATGCAATAATAACAAGAAGAAAACTGGAATTTTCTACTATTTTCTTTCTAGGAAAGTCAACTACTAAGAAAATAAGGTGAAATGTAGTATCTGCTTTATAGCCACTACTATGTTAATGAATATTCAGAATGATAAACCAAGGCACTTGAAAGGTACTAAATATTAGAGCTTATCTATACTCATAAAGAAATAAAAACATTAATATCTAATTTTTAAAAAAGATTTTCTGGTTAAGTAGAAATTAAAGTAACCAGAGTGTATGCCACAAACTAATAAGAAGCCATGAGATTATGATTAACTGAAATTAATCATAGGAAAAGAAATTAATCTTTAAGCAAACTTCCATTCACTTTGCTTAAAATGAATGGAAGTTTAAAAAATATATTTCCATATATTTATATGAGGTCTGTCCAGAAATTGTTAATATAACAATTGTTATATTGCCATTGTGAATATAACAAAAATGGTTTGCACAGCACAGTGGTTTGTGCTGACACTGATGTAACCTGGCAGCCGTGGCGAGTGGACTGGAATGCGCATGTGTGAACAATGACAACTTCACTGTACTAGTCAGTGGGGGTGGTAGATGCAATTGAGCGAGCATGAGTACTGTGTGGCCATTGCATTCAAAATGAGTGAGTGAGTAGAACAAATCAGCATCAAATTTTGCATTAAGCTTGAACATTCCTCTGCAGAAACTATTCAAATGACTCAAGGGCTGCAGCTATGGGCAACTGGTGAATGGCAGCATCATCATGACAACATTTCTGCTCATACATCACAACTCATGCAGAGATTTTTGGCAAAACATCAAATCAGCCAGGTGACTCACCTTCCCTACAGCTCAGATTTAGTACCCTGTGACTTCTGGCTTTTCCCAAAACTAAAATCATCTTGGAAGGAATAAAATTTTAGACCGTTGATAAGATTTAGGACAATATGACAGGGCAGCTGATGGTGCTTGGAAGAACTGTGTGAGGTCCCAAAATGCCTACTTTGAAGGGGACTGAAGTGTCATTGTCCTGTGTACAATGTTCCTTGTATTTTCTGCAATGAATGTCTCTATTTTTCATATTACATGGCTGGATACCTTCTGGACAGACCTTGGTATATTCCTCGGCATAGACTCAAGGAATCTCCATTTTATAAATGACACACTAACAAATACATAAGCTACATGAAAATATGAATAGCTACTAAGAGAAAAATCAAAATAATAAGATTATCTGGGAAAATGTCTAAGACACCACCTGATTTGATACAGAGGTCAAAGAGAGACTTTGAGAGGGTTAACATTTACAAATGGGCATAAGAACAGAAAAAAGTAAAAAAACTTCAGTACTGTAGAGAGTGTACAGCACTATAATGCACTGTTAGTGGCAATGAAGTTGGGGTAGTCTGTTTAGAGTTAAAATGGACATGACTTTTGGTCCACAGATATCTCTGTCCTTGGCGATATCTTTAACTGAACAAAAAGATTTAGTCATATAAGAATATTCATTGCAGCATTTTACTGGTAGTATTATTATTATTATCACATTGATAAAAAAAATTAAGATTTAGAGCGGGAGCCCAGTCACACTGGGCTAATATTGGAGGTCTAGGCAGGATTTGAATCCAGGTTGGGCTGGCTCTAAAGCCTGTATCATCTCACTACAAAGTTTTGTTTTTTTTTTGAATGTATGTATTTTTGTGTGTGTGTGCGTCCCCTGCTGGGAATTGAACTGTGATCCTCTGGTTCACAGGCCTGTGTTCAATCCACTGAGCTACACCAGCCAGGGCCAAAACAGTTTTTTAGAGTAGTTTAATACCGCTTCTAATAAAAAATAACTCCAGCTACAGAGCAAAACAATAGTCCTTTTATTATACTATGCAAATATAAAAATGATCCACCACACATGAATGCCATTGGGTTTTTAATATACTTCCTATGTTTAACTGCATAATTATTAGAGTAGGGTCTAAAAATTCTATTCCCTGTTATAAACATCACAACCAGTAAGTACTAACTTAATTCTTGGTTCTAAAAAGTCTGTAAAAAATTAGTTCCAGCCAAGATGGAGGAGTAGGTAGAAACCTTTCACTTCCTAGCACAACCAAGAGGATAACAACCAATCTAAAATCAATAAACAACTAAAATCACCAGAAAATCAAACTGCATGGAACTCTGAAAACCAAAGAATTAAAGAAAAAATCAACCAGACTGGTTAGGCGGACCATGCAGGCCTACTCAGAAAAACCAAGGTGAGGTGGCTGGGGCTGGGGTGGGGCTGACTGCCCAGCTCAGCAGAGCTGTGCAGGAGGGACTGACTTAAGGGGGAAACTGAGACTCAGAGCTGATTGTGGGCTAAGGCTGGGGTTGCTGAGGTGAGAGATGCTTCCAGTCTGACACCAGAGTCAGTTGGAAAGTGTGCTAGAAACCAGCGGGCGAGCTGCATTGTTCCCTCTCTGACCCTTCCCACACAGGCAGGGCAGCAAAGAGGGTTACCCTGCCCAGATGAATACCTAAGGCCCCATTCTCTTACAACCTATCAGCTGCACCAAGACAAAGAAAGATGGCCCAAATGAAAGAACAGAGCAAAACCTCGGAAAGAGAACTAAGCAATGAGGAGACTGCCAACCTATCTGATGGAGAATTTAAAGCCCTGGTAATCAAAATGCTCACAGAACTGATTGAGCTTGGTCAAAAAATGAAAGAACAAATGATAGATACCCAAAATGAAATAAAGCAAAATATTTAGGGAACCAAGAGTGACAAAAAGGAAACCAGGATTCAAAGGAACAATTTGGAACATAAGGAAGAAATAAACATCCAACTGGATCAGAACAAAGAAACAAAATTTTTTTTTAAATAAAGAGAGGCTGAGGATTCTCTGGGACAACGTGAAATGTTCCAATATCTGAGTTATAGGGGTACCAGAGGGAGAAGAACAGCAGCAAGAAACTGAAAACTTATTTGAACAAATAATGAAGGAAAACTTCCCCAATCTGGCAAAGGAAATAGATTCCCAGGAAGTCCAGGAAGCCCAGAGAGTCCCAAAGAAGTTGAACCCAATAAAGAACACACCAAGGCACATCATCATTAAGTTACCCAAGATTAAAGATTAAGAGAAAATCCTAAAAGCATCAAGAGATAAAGAGACAGTTACCTACAAAGGAGTTCCCATAAGACTATCAGCTGATTTCTCAAAAGAAACCTTACAGTCGAGAAGAGGCTGGAAAGAAGTATTTGAAGTCATGAAAGGCAATGACCTACACCTAAGATTACTCTATCCAGCAAAGGTATCATTTAGAATGGAAGGGCAGATAAAGTGCTTCCCAGATAAAGTCAAGTTAAAGGAGTTCATCATCACCAAGCCCTTATTATACGAAATGTTAAAGAAACTTATCTAAGAAAAAGAAGATAAAAAATATGAACAATAAAATGACAATAAACTTACAACTATCAACAAATGAAACTAAAAGAAAAACAATGAAAACAAAAATTAAGCAACCCAAACAGGAACAGAACCAGAGAAGTGGACAGCACATGGAGGGTTTTCAGTGGGAAAGGGGAAGGGAGGAACGTGGGGAAAGAGGCACAGGAAAGAAAAAGCATAATTGGTAGACATAAAATAGATGGGGAGAGAAAAAAATGGTATAGAAAACAAGAGGACTCAAAGAACTCATATGTACAACCCATGGACCTGAACTAAGGGGGTGGGAAATGCTGGAGGGTTGGGGGGGGCAGGTTGGAGGGGGAATAAAGGGGAAAAAATTGGGAAAACTATAATAGCATAATCAATAACAATACTTTAAAAATAAAATAAGTAAATAAAGTCTGTAAATTAGAGAAAATAAATATGGAAAAAGACTCATGATGCATTAAATATAAGTAAATTTTTTATGGCAAAAAGAATGAAGCAAGCCCTGGCTGGTATAGCTCAGTGGATTGAGCGCAGGCCTGCGAACCAGACAATGGCGGTTCGATTCCCAGTCAGGGCACATGCTTGGGTTGCAGGCCGGTTCCCTGCAGGCCAGTTCCCAGCAGGGGACGCACGAAAGGCAACCATACATTGATGTTTCTCTCCCTCTCTCCTTCCCCCCTTCCCCTCTAAAGATAAATAAATAAAATCTTAAAAAAA